ATTTACTCATAGGTTTATTGTTGGCTTACACTGACTTCACTCATGCAATGAATCATGCTCACATTCACGTCTGGGCATGGTGACCGAGTTATCGATCCATCTTGACGTGATTCGCTTCCTTATCCGACCGATAGAGATCAGTTAGCTCTGGGTTCGTTCATTCGTATCTATGACGCACACTCGATCAACGATTACGAACATAACTTTCCCGGGTCGAACGGGTTTGTGTGTGTTTTGGGGGGGGAGAACGGCCCACCTCGCCCCTCCGAAATCTGCATCCTCACTCGGCAACTCACTGAAAAAGTGCTTTTGTTTGTGTACGGAGAAGCTAGTTCATTCGGACTGGACGGGGTTGAGACAGACCCGGTCCAATCGGTGACGTTTGACGACCGAACCCCAATAACCTTATTGGGTTCCCATTGGAATGCGATTGGTTGGATTCAGCTGAAATTACATCCGATTCACTTGGAGTTACGGTTGATTCACTCGAAGTTTCAACGTAGTTACTTGAAGTTTTAAAGGTATAGATCTAAATAGCTTAATCTCGCTTTTTGTAGATTGTGAAATTTCATTTCTTTTGGAACAATCCCGTTTTTCATCATACTCTTGGCGGAAGATTAATCTTTTATCTACTTCTCTGTTCTACGAATAGCATTGATATTCTAGAATGAAAAGTTACAACACAAAAGCTTTATAAAATTAATAAGCTAATGCTTCTTTTATTCACATTCAAAAGTGGTTGTCTTGCGCTGTCAATCACTCTACCTGGACGAACCTCGAATCTGCTGGTCGAGACTCTTAATGCTTGCATGCGAACAATTTGCCCAAAGTGAAGAGACTATACTGATCTAATGGACCTAAAAAAATTGGGGTCGCTAAACACGTGCATTTGGCTTGGATTTGCGGACGTCGTACAACTCCGATCAAGTTTATAATAATCCATTTGTTATGAAAATCCCCGGAATTTTAAAACCCGTAATTATTCTGCCGATGAATTGTAAATCGTTTCACAAGCGTAGTCCCTTTATTGAATGTTATCATTTAAGGCATGCGTGTATTCAGTAAAGCGGGCAATAGTAGTTGGTTCCAAACGGTCAACCAATCCATGGAGCATACGGAGATGGGAGAAACCGGAAATCGGAAGGGGATTGGACAGAAAACGTGTTTCATGTGATTAATGGAGGATTTGATTCAATTTCAAAGGGGAATTCGTCGTGTATATAGCAAATGTAGCGCGAACTGAAAAGCTAAGAAGCGCTACAGCTGATTCGACCCGATCGGGTCTCATTTGCAGTTAGCGAATCCATCTACCCAACAACAAGCTTGCAAATATTGGTTGTGCTACATCGTGTAAATGGAAAACGAAAAGCTGTCTGATCATCTACCCGGGGTCCGAGTGGGTAGCATACTTGCGAGTTCCCCCTTTGAAAGACAAAATTTGCTTTAAAAAAGGAAAATAAACGCCTGAATCTATTTTGGTGCGTCGCAACAAAGCCTGAACGAAACCCCCGGGCTAAATAAAAATCCAGAATACTGAGTCCCCTCTCGGCTGTTCGCCGCGCTTGGCAATTTGTTTTCAAACGTTTCATCACCAACCGAGAGGACATCATCAGTACACTGATGAACAGGCGAACAGGCGAAATGGAACTCAGTTCATCTGAGCTACGAGAATCGATTTTTAACACTTTACCGACATCCTGAATACTGCTTTTTCTCTATGTCCCTCCATTAGAACGCAATACATCTTTGCAACTGAGTTGTCGCAATATTTGATTCCACGGCATTCATTTTTATTCATACTAAACCGTACACTCTTCATATGTAGAATACTTCCGGGTTGTAAAATTTAAAGTCTTTTCCCTTACACTGGGATTGAAAAACTGTTAACCTTTGCGCGGGCATATGTTTACATGTTTTCATATTAAAAATAATTGGACATGTGATTATTGAACGAGAGAATATGTCGTACACACAGTGTGCATTCTATGTGATACTTTTTTATTTTGGTTCTACACTGTACTGATCGCAATCGCTATCGTTTCTTTCAATTACTTTCGCTTCTTTTATTTGACAAAAATTTGAATAGCGCTTAACTTGACATACTTGGATCCCCTACCTCCCGAGTATCAGATGTGGATTTTTGACGAGNTTTGACGAGTATTCCATGTGTGTTTCCAGACCATGGTTCAACACTTGTGCATCTTTAAACTGGTTCTATATTAGGTAGTCTCTGAGGGAGCAAAAAATCTCTCAAAAAAGAGTATTTTTGTTGTATCGGTAAAAAAGTGGGGCATTTTGCCCTCGACCACTACGAAGGGTTTGATCCGCCTAGATCCCGGTTATCTTGCACGCAAGCCCGTAGGTTGGCAAATTCAGTTTGATTTCACTCTTAGCGAACATAATAAGGGAATGAAGTAAATGGGCGATTATGTAACCGGGTTAATAGTTTGACTGTAAGTTGGCTAAAAGGCCATGCAACCCAAAAACAAACATACTGCAAAGATATCCCTTCAGCATTCCTACGTGCAAAACAAATCGACATCTTCTGGGAATGAAGAAATATAAAAGCACGCGATCGAATTCGAGGATAAACGATCATTAGTTGCATCAGCACTATATTTTGTGTGGAAATTAGACTTCCAGCATGGTGGCTTGTACTAGACAGCAAAATGCATATCGTCAAAGATCAAAGAAATAGGTGACGTATTGAGGAGGGAAGTCAGTGCCGTGGTCAGACACAGTACAGAAAAAGTGGCATACTGGAAACAGAAACGACTCTCAAACTGGAAAACCGGGTTATATCGTAGGTGAATCAAGTTTATTGTATCCAGACATCTATATATCACATGATTCGTTATCATAAGTGTGACATGAAGCTGTTCTTGATGCTTCCCATCTCGGTGCAAATTGTATAACAGTGATATACTAGTACGCGGTTGCCTCGTTACTGAGACCACTACTGACCCCAACGACTTAGCACATCACAACACGATTTCCGCTGTGTTCCAGTGGATTAAATCATAGTTTTGTTCTCTCCATCACTGAAAGCAGTCTGCAACCACTGCGCCAACTGTTGGTAAACAATGCATGTCTTGTCAGTCGAGCAATGTTCTAATTCAAATGCAACAGGAAAATGTTCCATTGGTGTTTGCGCAATATAAACGAGTTCAATTACTCAAACAGCGAAAGTGCTATCAAAGAGCTCTTTTCAGCTACCCGATGGCCGAGTGGGCAGCTTACGTTCTGCTTATGAGGTCCCGGGTTCGAGATCCCCATCTGGGTGGATGGATTCGCTCACTGCTGATGAGACCCAACCAGGTCTAAACAGCTGCTGTCCAGTGCCTCCTAGCTTTTCGATTCACGCTTCATTTATTATATATACGAAGAATTCACCTATGGAAAAGCGCTTCTCTCAGCACGTCTTGGAGGAATATCTGGAATTTTGCTGACATGGGTTGACGTGCATTGGGTAGATGTGAATCAACAGCATCCTTGTGCGCTTGTAGCTGCCCAATAACACGTTTATGGGTATTGAAAAGCTATTTGTTATCAGGTGAACACACAAACGTGTTAGATGGATTAAAGTCAGCGCGGCGAGGTTGTCAGATTGATAACCACAGAGAAAGAAAGGGGTAGAGAGAGAGCGGTGTGCCGAGCTGTCAAGCACAAAGTGCGATTTCGGACAAAGACGAATGAAATGAACAAAGATCTTTGCTACGAATAAGTAATAAACCAAGAACAATCCCAAACAATGGGAAAACTTCTTTGCATTTGGTCAGCGAATCACCCATTCAGAGACAATAGAACGGGTAAGCATTAGGTTGACTGAACCACCGTTGAAACCCGAGACACGTTATTGAAATTATTTCCTACGTGGGCTGAACCCTAGTAATCCAAATGCGGTATATTTGAAAAGGTTGAACTGAAACAAACTGTGCAGCCCGTAAGCGAGAGCAGATCATGGACAGAGAGACATTCGATCGGGACTAACTGATGCATTTTTGCTAGGTAATAAAGAAAAATCATAAAACCAATCCAATTTCGAAAATAGCTTCAGTAGATCAATTATTAAACACTGCGACGTCAATATTCTGGCGTTTGCAAAAATCTTGCAACGTTAGGCCGATATTACAACTCTTTAAACATCTCTATTTGTCCAATGTATTCCTTGTTTAGTACCATAGAAAATCAAAAACAATTTGTTCAAATAAGTCATGTTTTCGAAAATAATCAAAACGTCACATTCAGTTCCCCTAATGAAATATTTTGTACTCGCCCGCGGGAACGCAACGTGTGTTTACATTACCCCAGAGCGTAAAAATAAACATTTCCAGACCGGGCGGTTTCATTCTCAAAGCTGTACAATTCTTCTTGACTGTTTACGTAATATTCCAGCAGCTGAAACTGTTTTCCACTCCACAGTCGACATGTTTATTCACTCGCTTCCATTCATCCATTCTCCGTGGGTATGTGCGCATGTCAGGTACGAGGGACTATGAGGCTTTGGATGTGTTCGTGAATGACTTGGATCGTGCAGTGAACAATCCGGCCGGAAACACTCGCACCAAATCGTCGCTGAACGAAGTGGAGACGGGAAAAAGAACTGGTTTGTCCAAAATTTCCTTCTCGCCATCCTACAACGATGCACTCAATCTATGCTCCACCAATCGGGCAGACGCGTGGATCACGCGTGACCCCGGGTCTCAAACCAAATCCGGATCAGGTGCGTGATTAGTATCAATACTGTGCACCGTTTTGTCCTAATAATCACATCCCACTATCGATTTTCTTCTTTGGAAACCAATCCTCTTCATCCTAACACACCGAACTTACTACATGGAAACTACACGGAAATATTGTGAAACAATAACATGCGAATTGGTTAGGGTTGACACGATTAGGCAAAGCCACGTGTTGCAAATTTCTGTTTTTATTTTAGAGGAGAATGGTTTTTCCGTACATCAACGATCCCGTCACAAAAGTAACTGAGGAGATGTCATCTTGCTATCAGTGTGATCAAACGCTTTGTACCGGCTACATGGGTGCTGCTCACATAATTTGTAGCGCATAAAGATGTTGATCAAACTCGTGCAACGGCACTCTCATTTTGGAAATACATTTCAGTCTTCACTCTCATACTTACTTGTATATTGATGGCTATGGGTTAGGCATATTTATTCCTGATTTTATCTCCCACTTCTGTATTCCTAATTCTATCACCGTTTGAGTTTGCGCTACCTTCAGTGTTGCGATATAATTTGTAGTAGTTCGAAGATTGCAGCGGAGATTTCGAAAATAGTTTAAGCATGGAAATTCATTCTTTCTGATGAATGATTCCTGTTTCATGAGTGTTCATGAAGGTGGACACACGTATTCTAAATTACTCATCTCTTTGGTTCAGTGTGTGGCAAATAAGCCAATTAATAAAAATCTATTTGCTTCAATAAATTGATAAACTGTCTGACTACATACTTCTCACGCATTATCCACAATACTGGTTAGGGTGCGGGGTGTATTAGAGGAAACTGGGAAAATCTGTTTGATANCTTGGTGGACTCCGTGATAAAGCGACTGCCTCCAATGCTCAAACTTCAAGAAGGGCAAATGGAACATGGAAGAGTTGAAAGTACAATACCTGTATGGAGTTTGTGAGTCCGCTTAGTACATGAATTCTAGTTACGTTTTCTACTGTGACTTTATCATTGTACAACTGATGCACAAGCAACCATCGTGCATTTTAATGGCATGTGGCAAATAGAAGCAAATACATAAGTAGGTATTACATCAGATATGCTACGTGTGATGTGACTGGAAAAAGAAAGTATTGAGATGAAACTCAGGGTGTTGCATAAGTTTGGTCAATACCTGTACCGTTAACTTATTTGTAACAGTATCAATAAGCCCCTGTTATCGACAAAGCAATAGCTTCGATTATCCTCATAGCATATGTGATATGTATATGATCATATGCAAATTTCTCGGCAGGAGAAAACATATAACTAAGCAGATTTGATACTCGCGACCAATTTCACGTGCTATCATTCAACTTGGGAGTGATAACTATATCCAGTCAAACAAAGAATCACACCTGGTGATAATCGTCTATTCGTGAAACTGAAATTATCTATTTAATATACATTTATAACGCATATGTTGTTGCTGTGGTAAGGATCACGTGTCAACTCCCTTGCATGGCGTGTGACCTGTCTTTTTCTCTCCCCATCCCTGCGTGTCTTTTTAAACAGATAAATGAGTGTACACCGGGCGGTTTGTTTCATGGTGCGTTGCGATTGGTTATACCTCCAATATCCATTGGAGAAAGTTGGTAGGGCATTTGAGCGCATTCCGCACTGTGACTGGTTAGGCCAAATCATAAAATAGTCGTAAAATCCGAAACGGCAATGGGGCATTTGTGTCCAAGGCCATCAGATGCAAATAAGAAACCGGAAATTTAACCACTCAGCTTCAACTATCACACAGTAGACTCAACTACTTATCGCTATTATATTGCAATAGTCTTGCTTTCATCAAAGAGCATGTTACAGCACCGATGAACTGAAAATTTTAATTGTCTACCAATAACGTTTTCATGAATAAGTACGTGGATTTGTTCTGCTAGTGAATATATACTGGGTTTTCTGTGCTCCAGTAAATGAGCTTCGAAGAAATTGTCTCCATATCATCAACGTTTTGTTGAGAAATCTCAGACGTTAGGTACTATTGGCTCGTGTGTGCTGTAGGCTGTTCCCTGTGAACGAATGCACCAAACAACCACAAGTGGGTCGAGTTTAGGTGTGGGTTGGAACCGGTGACAGATAGGAGGTTCTCCGTGTCGACGGGGTTGAATGGCAGTCTGCAAGAGAGGAAAATGCAGACGCTATGAACCATAAGGTTCAGTGAGACATGAACACGACACACACTCAAACGGAATAGCAAGTTGCCAAGGTCGTTACACAATGGCGTCTATTCAGTCTACTTCCCTCTACTTTATCAATCAACAATTTTAACCGGTTTACTGATAGTAGTCTATATGTTTTATTCTTTTGAGCTGCGTGGCTTATTTATAAGCATCAAAAAAGTGGATCTAAATGGATACAAGAGATAACACATCAGTTTTAACCCGAAGATTTCAAAACGATTTGGTGCCCGATGTTGTATTGTAAAGGGATTGTGGGCGAACACATTTCATCTAAACAGATTGATTGCCAGATTGTTTGCTGTGTTTTGCAAATTCAGGATGATCGCTGTCAACAAACGGTAAACACCATCATACAAAGGGAATTAAGCGGTGAAAAAAGAAACACTGGGCTTTTTGGCTCTCTCTCGCTGTGAAAGTTAAAAACATTTCTCCTCCTCCTAGTTTCCCTTATCAATAAAGCCGGATTCTAAGCGCGAGGTGGGCATTGTTGTGATTCTATATCTTACCAGTAATTCTATTCTCTCTGTAATCGGATGTATATTGATTTCGTTTATCCTCATTCACGGCGGGTTCTTTTGGTGGTGGTGGTGGTGGTGGTGGTGGTGGTGGTGGTAGAATTTGTAAACAACGCAAACGAATTCAACATTTTCTGTTTCCTCCTCCTCGTGATTCGCATAATCCCTGGAATTGATAGCAAACAAACGTATAGTACATTGATCTGTACAAGTGTTATGGCAATCTCCAAGTGAAAACGTTTACCGAAACTCTTCTGCGTTTTCAATACAAATCATATGATTGAACAGTAAAGGAATATCTAAAGAAAAAACAACCACCTTCAAATAACAAAATCACCCAGAGGTTGGTGATTAAAAACATGCTCCATAAAATACAGGTTATGGAATCATGCAGTGTTGGAAGTGGTCCAAATAGCTTGATGATTATCTGTGTGTTCTCCTTCGTAATCACGAGATCTGGTTCCCCTACCACAGTAACAACTCACACACACAAACACACACACACCGAGGCTCCCAGAGTTTGCAGTGAGGATTCCATTGGTAAAGAGCATCTCAACAATAAACGATCATCTAATCCGATAAAGTTGCTGATTTCTAAAGCTTTTAAACAAAAACTAGTCCACAGAATAGCATCTGTTATTTTATCCTAATCATTCCATGATCGCAGACATCACAGACTGTTGCTCTCACTGCACGAGTCCGATGAAATTTCGGACACCAAGGATTATTAGAATTTATTCCTTCTACAGGTCTTCTAAAGCAATCTATTATGTTTCTTTGGTGCAATTCAAATCAGTCGTTTGGGACAAAAGTGAAAATCTATGCAGGCCATCACGGAGATATTTTTAATCTGAAAGTTGCACCAGTTGGAAGGAGGTCCCTACAATCGATATCATTTATTGGGATTTGCCATGGATAGTTGAGTGATCTGAATAAGTAAATGTTAACAACGGGAGTACTGCTACATCGACCTAGAGAACTCAATGCTGGCAACATCAGATGACCGTAATGCTCTACAGTTTAACGATTCAATCATGTTGTTGTCGCTAACGTCCTTTACGAGGGCCGATCGTTTTATGAACTAGCGACTAAAGATATAACTTACTGACCTACTGATGAGGATGACTAAACATCACCGTAAATTATTCAATAAACAATCGATTATAATGAATAGACTTATAAAGTAATCCATAAGGCCTGAAAAACTCAGTTACAAAACAATTTATTCCTAAATTTATTCTCCAAAAAGAGTTGTACAGATATTTGAAAACTTTTTTCAAATATGATTGACACAAAGCATCAATGTTTACATTAGCCATGCAGACCAATCAGCAACCGGGAATTGAATGACTGGCCGTAGTCTGTGAGAAAATCATATGGAACAGTTTAAAATCAATAGTGAAGGACAGATTCCAGTCCAAAGAAATGTTGAAGAAAGTGATATGCTGACTAGAAAATATCATTCAGCCTCTTGAGTTAACAAGCGCAATATTAAGCCAAGTAAGTTCAACTAAAGACTATTTATGATGAATGGCATCTGAAAAAGTCATTGAAGAAATAACGAACAGAGCGTAAATCAGTTTTTATTTCATTTTTTACTAACAGGAAGCACGCATTCGCATCAGAATAGAAATAAATGACAACTCGTGCTTGACATTGTCTCGTGCGGTCGATGGCGTTATTGCAAGGGGTCCTTAGTTAGGTGTCTTTGTTCAGCATTCCATGATTCACGTTTAGGTTTGCCTTACTGAGTCCGAATAGATTCGACCACCAGTTTAATCAGTACAAACAACGAGACTTCATTAACTCCTTTCATTATTGCAGTCAACTCAAACTTCGATACTGTCGTCTTCAGGGACACCAACTTGATCCAAAGACCCAGTTGTTTTACACTGGGAAAATCACAACACTTTAATCCTCCAAGGTGTGACCGCTGCAAATAGGTTCATAACCGCCAGTTAGACATGCTTATTTTAGAGCACGGACTCAAAAATACAACATATCCATAAAATGGGGATTGAAAAGTTACTCCTGGAATCGACCGATCAGACTACGCTTAGCAAACGTATCACTAGTTGCGGTCTTTAGTTGATGCTTCCTGCAACTTCAACATTGTTCGGTTAACTGTAAACAAATGTCACTTAAGAGTAAATTAAACGAAATATAATTCCACTAAAAAATAAGTTGAGCATTTACAACAATAGTGTACTAACAAATAAACGTTTTTGTTTCAAATTAGAACAGTATTGATTGTTCAACAGGCATTAGTATTTGGAATTTGTGAACGGATATAAATG